GCAATTGTAAATTGGATTGCCTTCTTGATTTGGCTCTCAGCTTGACTGTCGCTGGTGTATACGAATGCTAGTGACTTTTGTACATTGATTTTGTATCCTGAAACTTTGCTGAAGTTATTTATCAGCTGAAGGAGCATTGGGGCCAAGACTATAGGATTTTCTCTCCATAGCCAATAAATGGTGCTGGGATATTTGGCTAGCCATATGCAGAAGATTGAAGCTGGACTTCTTCCTTACACCATTATACAAAAATCAACTCAAGACTTAAATGTAAAACCCGAAACTATAAAAACCTGGAAGACATCCTAGGTAATACCATCCTAAACATAGGAATGAGCAAAGATTTCATGACAAAGACACCAAAGCAATCGCAACAAAAACAAAAATTGTCAAGTGGGATCTAATTAAACTTAAGAAACTATCAACAGAATAAACAGACAACCAATAGTATGGGGGAAAAAATTGCAAACTCTGCATCTGACAAAGGTCTAATATCCAAAAAGTGGACAAAGGACATGGACACTTTTCAAAAGAAGGCATACATACAGCCAATAGCATATGAAAAAAAAGCTCAGTATTACCATTAGAGAAATGCAAATCTAAACTACAAAGAGATACCATCTCACACCAGTCAAAATGGCCATTATTAAAAAGTCAAAAAACAACAGGCATGGATGAGGTTGTAGAGAAAAGGGAACACTTATACACTATTAGTGGGAGTGTATATTAGTCCAACCACTGTGGAAAGCAATTTGGTGATTCCTCAAAGAGCTAAAAGCAGAACTACTATTTGGCCCAACAATCCCATTACTGGGTATATATCCAGAGAAATTTAAATCATTCTACCATAAAGCCACATGCATGCAAATTGTCATTGCAGCACTATTCACAATAGCAAAGACACAGAATCAAACTAAATGCCCACCAATGACAGACTGGATCAAGAAAATGTGGCACATACACATGACGGAATACTATGCAGCTATAAAAACGAATGAGATCATTGTTTTGCAGGACCATAGATGGAGCTGGAGGCTATTATCTTTAGCAAACTAACACAGGAAAGGAAAACCAAAGGCCAGGTTTTCACTTATAAGTGGAAGCTAAATGATAAGAACTCATGAACACCAAGAAGAGAACAACAGACACTGGGGTCTACTTGGGTGGGAGGAGGGAGAAGAGCAGAAAAGGTAACTACTGGGTTCTGGGCTTAATACCTGGGTGACGAAATAATCTGTATAGTAAACCCCTGTGACATGAGTTTACCTATCTAACAAACCTTCACGTGTGCCCCCAAACCTAAAATAAAAGTTAAAAAAAATGGGTCTTTTGCTCCATGAAAGACCATGTGAAGAGGATAGAAAGACAAGCTTCAGAGTGGAAGAAAATACTTGCAAACTACACATCTGACTGAGGACTAGTCTCTAAAACATAGAAAGAGTCTTTAAAAAAAAACAAAAATAAAAACAACTAATATTTCCTATAATTGCATGTGAATCTATAATTCTCAAGCAAATAGGTTAATTAAAAGGGTAAAATAAAAGAATGTGTCAGAAGTAGCTGTGCCAATTCTAAACTGAGGCCTCAAGAAGCCTTCACAGTCCTTCATTCAGAATCCTACGCAGACACCATGTGAACAAGCCTGGGCTAGCCTGCCGGAGGATGAGAGACTATGTAAAACAAGACAAACCATCTCAACTGAGGCCACTGTAGACAGCCAGCTCCCAGAAAACCCGGCAGTCAACTGCAGAAACATGACTAAGTCCAGCAGAAACAAAAGAAATGCTCAGCTGGGCCCTACATAGCTGTGAAATTGTGAGCTAAGCAAATGGTTATTGATTTTAGGCAGTAAAGTTTCAGATGGTTTGTTACATAGTAAAGCTAACTGATACAAGCTGATGCATTTACATATTTTAAACCAATTTATCTTGAGAGGATCTCTGAAAGGTTGTTGTTGAAGTTAGATATTTTGTAATCTTTTATGACTGAACTGGACATTTAATAAGCCTCATTAAAAATCTTACAGGGTAATTAAGTTATTATTGACTACAGCCATTCTATTGTACTACAGAAAAGTAGGTCTCATTCATTCTTCTCTAGCTTTTGTACATTTTTAAATAAATAATGTAACTGGATTGTTTGTAACTCAAAGGATAAATGCTTGAGGGGATGAATACCCCATTCTCCATGATGTGCTTATTTCCTACTGCATACCCATAGCAAAATATCTCACATACTTCATAAATAAATATACATACCTCCTATATGTACCCATGAAATTTTTTTTTTAAATCGAGAAAGGTAATTAGTTTAAAAAAAATCTTCCAGACTAAAAGTATAGGGGTGATACGAGACCCTGATCTGGCTCCTAGATTTTCCCTCCCTCATTAAGGAGGTGGGGTGGCCTTGTAGTCGGGCATGAATCCTTGATAACCTCCCCAGCAGTCATTAGTGGCGATCAGTGCTGCCCTCAGCACAGTGGACAGTCAAAAGCACACAGCTCTGCCCTTAACGAGCTTCACAGCATAGCAGCTGCCCAGACACTTCATCTCCAGCTTACTGCCACTCAGGCCTTACCAAGAAAGAGCTCAATATTTGTGGAGGAGTGTCTGAAGGCATCAGACCATCCATTCCTCCAGGTACTCTAAGTGCTGCCCTTGAATTAAGCCATACCATCCGAGAATAAAGGAAACACATTGTTTTGGCCCTCACAGAATTGTTTTTATTGAACTGAACTCTGGCGTTCAGCCACTTCCTTATCCTAAGGGACTTAAGAAAAAGCACCATGAAACCCAATATTGTCTTTGCTCTGATGACAGGGCCAAGAATCCTATTCGCAAGGAGAGCCTATAGGAGAAATCTCTCGTTTTTATTAGCAGGAAGAGCATCACTCTCCCAAGCAGCTGGTTTGTGTTTACTATGTGGCCCCTATGAATCATGTCATTGACACAATTTCCCACTTGTCCCAGCAGCTCAGAGCCAAACTGAGCAGTTAAGACTCTTGTAGAATAGTGTGTGGCTCAGAGCTTAGGCATCATCAGACTCCAGGTCTAGCTCTTCTCACCTGCAGCTTCTCTGCCTGCCATTCACCCCAGAGCTCATGGCCTGCTTCAGGGGGTCTTCTCTGTGGCCCTGGATCATGGCAGAGTTATAAGGAGTTACAAGGGACTAAGTTTATAAATTCAGACTTGCTCACTTAGTGAGTTAACCACCAAGCCAACTGGGCGTGCAAACATGGGCTCCCCTGCCTGGAGGAAGAGGAGGGTGTACAGGGAAATCTGCCACAGGTGAGCCCCTTAACATGTCAGGAGTGATGTATATGCCATTTCTCCCCAAATCAACTCTGGAGAATGGAAATTATTATCTTTATTGTCCAAAGGCAGAAAATGAAGCTCAATGGGCCACCTAAAAGTCACACGACTGGTCGGCAGGCAGAACTAGGATGCAAACATGAGTCTAGTCCTGATGCCTGTCTTCTTTCTTCTAGACCCAGGGTTGGCAGACCAAGACCCATGGGCCCAATTCATTCTACCGCCCGTTTCTGCAAATGAAGTCTTACTGGAGCACAGCCAGTTCACGTGTTCACATGCTATCTGTGGCTGCTTTTGTGCTACAGCAGCAGAGCTGGAGGTGGTGGCAACAGAGACTACATGACTCACAAGGCCTAAAATCTTAACTATCTGTTTCTTTACAGAAAAGGTTTGCTGACCCTTGATGTAAACAAAAAACTCAAGACAAATGATCCCTCTGTCTTAAAGAAGTATCTTCAGAATCATCCAACAGGGTAGGAGAGGGCTTCTTAGCAAAGCACAATTCCACTCCTACCTCTAACCTACCACATTAGACCCTTCCAGGTTGGAGGCCTGAATCTGTATTTCTCATGTTCTTCCTCTACCTCCAAGAGCTTCTTACATTTTTTGAAGTTTATGAACGACAGCCCAATCCTGGTACTCAATGTCCCCATCAGTAGCCCTTGGTTGGAAGGGCATTGAGAGATAAATATCCCTGCTCCCTTGCCCCTTGGGTGGGGTAACATGGAGGCATACTCTATACTGGCTCCCACTGTCCCCAGCAGGTATGAGCCCCACTCACCTTGTACATAGTGATAATTTGCTTGACCATGCTATTAACTGGATTCTGATGACCCCTCTTTAAGACAGAGGAACCACTTGTCTAGAGATTTTTATTTACAACAAGGGTCAGCAAACCTTTTCTGTAAAGAAACAGATAGCAAAGATTTTAGGCCTTGTGGGTCATACAGTCTCTGTTGCCACCCCCCCCCCCCCCCAGCTCTGCTGCTGTAGCACAAAAGCAGCCACAGACAGCATGTGAACACGTGAACTGGCTGTGCTCCAGTAAGACTTCATTTGCAGAAACGGGCGGTAGAATGGATTGGGCCCATGGGTCTTGGTCTGCCAACCCTGGGTCTAGAGGAAAGGGCACAGACAGCAGGACTAGGCTTCTTTTCCCTATCCCACTTCTACTTGTCTACTGGTGGCTCCTAGGATCAACTCCTAAATAAACTACTTGCCCTTGAATCTTTTTCTCAGGATTTGCTTCTAGAAATGCCCCCGAACACAAAAAGACAAAAGCCAGAGACACTGAGATAATTTTTTTAAATGCCACATGTGTAGTGATTTCAATGTCCCCACTAGGAATCAGGTTCTATACTCACCCCAGAGAGGCACAGAGTAGGAAAGGGGTGGAGGGAACCAAGCTGTAGAAATTAATGACGTATGGTCCCCAACTCTGACAGAGCTGATACTTAAGTTGGGGGCAGGAGTGCTGGCCCATAATAACACAAGGAAATAAGAGACAAGAAAAGCAGGAGTGGAAGGATGCATTAAGCCAGGCTTGGGGGTCTGGATTTATGGCAGGGGCAGGGACCACCACCAACCATCACGACATTTAAGTGGAGATTCACCAAGCTTCCCAGTCTGGGAGCAACAAAGTTTATAAATTGTGTTCACATGCCAATATTAATTTTTCACCTTCACAGCAGTCTCATAAGGTAAGCAGGAATTGCATTATGATTATTCATTCCATTTTTCAGGTTAGAGAACTGGAGTACAGAGTTGCCCAAGCCAGAACAGAGCAGCTCACAACCCACAAGTCCTTCTGCTGCTCTCTGCTACCAGTGACTCATTTGAAGGCTAAAGTTACCCAGGATCCCATTCTGCTGAAAGTTTCCTTGGCTAAGCTAAACTGATTATTTCTGCTAGGAGAATACTACCACTATCCTAGTCCCAGCCAGCTCTGGAATCCAGGGGAAGGGAGACTCTCCAAAAGAAAGAGTTCCCAGGGACTCAGTTCTGAGCCTGGCTGAAAAGGGGGGCTTAGTTCCTACCTCAGGAAGTGGGGTTTTCCCAGTTCATCGCCTAACCTCACCTCCAAAAGCCTGGTATCCACCACTTTACCTACCCTTCCCCCAGCCTGGCGTGGCCCCTCTACTCCTAACCTCAGAGAGCCAGAGGGATAACAGGATTCTGGTATCCATGGCAACACAGCCAGGTTCACAAAGCAGCAGGTCCTATCTCTGCAGTCAGATCAGTGTAACTGTCAGTGGCCAAGGCAATTTCAAGTCAGACTACAAGGTTAATTTGTCTGAAGTTTTGTCTGCACAGAAGCCCCCAGCATGGAGAAAAGGTGAGTCATCAGCCCAAACCACACCATTAAGCCAGGACCAGATACAGTGGCCTTTCTTGCCCCCTACACACAAACCTGAGGAGGTCAGCCCAGATAAACAGAATATCATCTGTTAATCAACCTCATGATCACTGAACATTTCATGAGTTACAACCAAGGATGCAGGGAGACTTCCAGCACAGCATGTGCTAATACATTTGACAACAGGGGCTGGCATTCTCATTCTCCGAGTCCTCTCTCAGCCTCCTTTTGTCTCCCTCAGGTTACAAGGGAATCAGACAAGAAGAGGAGACACAGGAGCCAGCTCCAAGGAGGGAGCAGGAAAGGAGGAAGATCTGCTTGGATGGCTGATAGTTGGGAAACACTGGTTCTTGTGGTCAGTTCTCAGTTCAAAGGAAGTTTTGACAGCCTCTTTGGGACTTGTCAGAGCCCAGTCCAGACTGACAGTAGAGGTCTGTCCAATAGGAGGGCATTGTCCTGCCAGAGCCCTCTCATGTGTCCTGAAAGATCTACCTTCTAATGAGCCATCAATGTAGAGGGACAATGAGCCCTCTCAATTGCCTAAGACTTGATTAGGAGACCCTTTGCTCCGGTGCTGACCCTGCAGGGAGGCTGCCCCACTGCTCTGTAGCTGGATCCTATGATGCCTTCACTATGATGCTTAAAAAGTAGAGTGGCCTGGTGCAGACCCCTGCCCATGCCCAGGTGAGTGCACATTTGCATGGCCCATGGCTGTGGACAGGTCATTACTGCCGCCAGAGTTTAGAATATGGTTTTCAGCATAATTTTTAATCCATTGTATTTGAACACATATTAAAATGCTTACTGTGTAGATGGCACATTCCAACATCCTTATTAGAATAAGTGAACCAAAAGAGGAGGAAGAATAGCAGCTGCTACAATTTAATTAAGTGCTTAGCATGTGCTAACCACTGTCCTGAGCATTTTATGAATATTATTTTATCTAATCCTTGCCACAACCCTATGAAGAAACACTATTTGTTTACAGGTAAGAAAATAAGGGTCAGAAAAGTGAATTAACTCAGTTGGAGTCACACAGCCAGTAACTGTGTAACTCCAATTTTAGACTGTCAATACCTTTCCATGCCTCCTAAAGCTGGAAAATAAAAAGGCAATTCCAAAGGCAACATTCCATGCACACCCTGCCAACACAGGGAAGAGCCTACCCTCTTGAAGGAGACACTAATAGGAAAATGCTGCAAGTTTGCAGTGAAAACTCACAGAGGCCACTCGGAAATCTCAGCCCCACTGAGGTGGTGTTTCCTAGTCAGAAAAAGGATGTGGGTGGGAAAGTTCAGGAAAAGGAGGGAGAGAAGTATACTGCCACTTTAGATGTTGATTTTAAGCTATACTTGGAATTTCACAGGGAAAAATGAGAATAGGAGAAAGAATTTGGGACCTAAGAGTGGGAGATAATATCCCTAGACAGAGAAAGAGACAGTAGAAGCCCATAGATGAAATCCTTCTAGTTTTAAAACTGAAGCTGCAATATACATTTTTTTCTTCCTAAACACAGTTAGACTACATTTCCCAGCCTTCATTGCAGTAAGGTGTGACCATGTGACTAAGTTCTAGCCAATGGAATGTGAGTGGAAGGGATGCTCACAGCTTTCAGAGTGTTCCATAGAAACTTTCCATCTATCTCTTCCATGCTCTTGTCTCCTCCTAGCAGGATGAGAGAAAATATCACAGTGGTCCTGAAAACCACATGTTGAAAGCAGCAGAGATTCTATCAGACTGAATCCTGCCTGAATGACCATAAGAAGTAGGCCACCACCTAAAACTCTTCATCTGCCCATGACTGTTATGGGAGCAAAACATAAACATCTAGTAGCAGCAGCATCGGAGCCTGAAGTCAGTCAGTGTTGGCACTCACTTACCCTGCATGGCCATAGAGAGATTAAGGTCTGGGTTCCTCCTGCCTGTATGACTGCAGGTGGGGAGGAGTTTGTCCAACAAGTTCACAAAGAAACGGAGGAGGATGTGGCCCGTGAGGCTGAGCACTGTGTAGGGATCAAGGCAGAGGAAATGACCCGCGTAATCAGGACATTGATTATATATAGGGGAATTGAGAAATTAAGCAACTAGATTGGGAATAATGGAAGCCAGGTTTCTCACTGTCAGAGAAGAGAAATACAAATATGGAAAAGAGAGAGGCTGGGAATTAGATCAGAATTGGAAGCATCGGTGTGAGCTCATGGTTTTTAATCTGTACAGACACCCATATAATCAGAAGTTAATCATGAAGAAATAACAGACAAAGCCAAATTGAAAAACATTCCACAAAGTATCTGGCCTGTACTCCTCAAAAATGTCAAAGTCATGAAAGACATGGAAAAACTGAGGAACTGCTCCATATTGAAGAGGACTAAACAGACATCACAACTAAATGCGATGCATGACCCTGGATAAATTCTGGACCACAAAACAAGGGTGCTTATGAAAGACGTTTATTGAGGGAACTGGCATGATTTGAATGAGTCTGTGGATTGAATAGTATCACCATATCAATGTTAATGTTCTAGATTTTGCATTTGTACTGAGGCTATGCAAAAGAGTAACTTTGCTTTGGAGAAATACACATTGAATTATTTAGGACTTACTGCCCACGATACCTGCAACTTACTTTCAGATTATTCAGAAAAACTGTACAAAGACTGAAACAGAGAGAGATGGTGATAGAAAGTGAATAATAAGGCAAATATGGTAAAATGATAGTAATTAAAGAATCTGAGAGTATATGTGACTCTTTTGTTCAACCCTTGTATCTATAAATTTAAAATTATTTCAAAATAAAAATTGAAAAAGACATTCTATTGGTTGAACAATTATATATTTGGCTCTATTTGTTACTTCAGCTTAGCCTATCCTAATACAGAATGTAACTATTTTTTTCCAAGTAGGAATTTAAATATTTCAATTATGTAACAAATATTTATTGAGTACTGTCTGTGTGCCAGACATTGTGCTAGGTACTAGGGATATGGCACCTAAGACAGGTGTGAAAGCTGATTATACAAATTGGGTCATTTTGGTCATACCCAATTAACCAAAGTTAAGAGGCCAGGGGGATAAAGCACTCAGGATATAACAGCCACCTACTCCAAGAACTGCATTTTCCATAAGCCCAGCTGTTGAAATGACCTGCTGTGACAACCTTAAGACCAGTAGTATCTGCTGAAACAATCTTTCATACCTCTAATACTAGTTTTACCTGCCACCATCAATCACCAAATAAAAGCTTGCCAGCTCCCAAAAGCTTCTCTGGTGCCAATGAGCTCTCTTTCAAAACAATACAGAACATTTCTCTTTCTGTTAAGACCCCCAATCTTTCCTTTGTTCCTCAGATATACTAAAGACCACTCAGTCTGTATGAAAGCCCCAAATTGCAATTCTCTAACTTCCAAATAGAACATTAAGTGTAGAGACTTTTTTGACTTTGACACTCTTGGTGTCAGAAGTGAGACTCAAAGCCGATCCACCTCAGGGAGATCACTGGCCTCTGGTACTGTGGCATGAGACATCCACACTCAGTGGGCCCTTGAGCCCCTTCCCAGCTTCCCTGGGACACTTCAGACAAACCTGCTTTAAGACAAAAATTTTCTTCTGGTCCCTTTATTGCTCAAATGTGACCTGAGTCCCTTAAATAACCCCCATGCCTTCCCTTCAATATGGGACAGAGACAGCCAGGACAAGTGCATTTTGGCACTGAGAAGCAATGAAGCCTAACTTCAAGATGTTTCATAAGCAATGCTTTTATAAAAAGATGTTGATCAAAAGGAGGAAATGTGAAAGTTGATTATATGAAGTGGATCATTCTTGTCACAGCCAACTAAATCAGAGTAGAGAGACCAGGTGGGGAAAGGACTTGGGGCACATAGCACCTGCTCCAATAAATGGAAATTTCCCACAAGCCCAGCTATTGAAATGACCTGCTGTAACCCTACAACCAGTTTCACCTAATATCTGCTGAAATGACCTGCTGTGACTCGGAGACTAGTTTTACCTATTGCCTTCACTCACCAGCCAGAGCTTGCCAGCTCTCAAAATTTCTCTAGCGCCAACTCTTGCCTTACTTTCAAGAGAATACGTAACATTTATTTCTCTAATAAAACCTCCAACATATACTTATTTCCTCAGACATACCAAAGACCTCCTGTCTGTGTGTATGCCCTGAATTCCAACTCTGTGATTCCCAAATAAAATGTTAAATTTACAGTTTCATCTTTGTTTGTTGTTGTTTTTGTTTTTGTTTTTGGAGACAGAGTCTTGCCCTGTTGCCCAGGCTGGAGTGTAATGACATGGTCTCAGCTCACTGAAACCTCCACCTCCCAGGTTGATGCAATTCTCATGCCTCAGCCTCCTGAGTAGCTGGGACTACAGGCATGCACCACCATGCCTGGCTAATTTTTTGTATTTTTTTTAGTGGAGAGGGCATTGCACCATGCTGCCCAAGCTGGCCTCGAACTCCTGAGCTCAGGCAATCAGCCCACCTTGACCTCCCATCATCTCCTTTTTCTTTAATATAGGCATGATCCCTACTCTCATGGAGGTTCCAGTAAGATATAGCAGATATTAAACAACCAACTACTTAAGTTTTCATTACAATCAGGATAATTTTCATTAACTGTTAAACATCATTTCTTTGGAGAAACTTTCTTGGAGCAGATGAGATTACATCAGCACTTACCATAATGGGGAGCTTTGCACAGTTGAGGACTTTGGTGTAGCCCTGCACTACAAGTATTTTCTTCGAGTTACTATGGATTCTAAAGGTTAGTCTGTGCCTCCACATCTGTGTTTGCTCACTTTATGGATCATATATAGCACCTAGCTGAGAAGGCAGGAAATAAATATTTTCAGAGTGAATAATCTAGGTAAATGAATTAAGATAATGAGAATAGAGAGCAAGTGAAAGATGACAGAGAAATGCCAGAACTTGGGAACTGATTTTTATATTGGGACAGAGGTGTGTAACAAGACATCAAAGAGGACCTCTTGGGTATTTGGAATCTGGGGTTTCAGCAGCCAAATTTGTAGAGTTCTTAAGGAACTGAGATGGTGGAATAGAATTTTTCAATGCTCTGCCCATAATCCTCCAGATCCCTTTACCATTTTGTGCACAAGAGGGGACACACCTGAATCTTTATCAGAGGCTGGCCTGCAGGGCATGCCACTTTGCTCACTGTATTTGTCCATTTTCATGCTGCAGATTGACATACCCAAGACTACATAATTTATAACGAAAAAGAGGTTTAATGGACTCACTCACAGTTCTACATGGCTGGGGAGGCCTCCCAGTCATGGCAGAAGGCAAAAGGCATGTCTTACATGGCAGCAGACAAGAGAGAATGAAAACCAAGCAAAAGGGGAAACCCCTAATAAAACCATCAGATATTGTGAGACTTACTCACTACCATGAGAATAGCATGAGGGAAACTTCCCTTATGATTCAATTATTTCCTACCAGGCCCCTCCCACAACACATGGGAATTATGGGAGCTACAATTCAAGATGAGATTTGGGTGAGGACATAGCCAAAATATGTCACTCACCTACCTGGCCCATAGAGCAGCTCTCAACTAATGATTGATGGATATGGGGGTATAAGCACCTCAGCTCTCTCACCCTTTGTCTGCAATAAATTTGAGATGTGTATTTTAAAAGGTCTCTCCAAGTTTTCTCCCATGAGGTTAAGTTCCAATTGCACACTGTGGCAGCTGGATTATGGGTTCATTATTTGCTGTCTTCCTTTCCCTGGATTACCTCCCTCCTTACCTACTCATGTTTCTTGCACCTCCTAGTAAAATGTTAGTCTTTGAATCCTTGAATCAAACACTCAAGGCTGCTCTTGGAAAGCTCCAAATGGATTATGAACAAAAAAATCCCAGGATAAGAACTATGCTCCAGCAAGACAGCTGCTGCAACCCACACAGGAGAACTGGAGGAAACCACTTCTGCCCTCGTGCCTTCATTACCCAGTGTTTCCCTGTCCCACTCTGCATGAGATCCCAGCTCCGAGCATTCCAAAGTGCCCCAAATGTGTGGTCTTGCTATTTATTTCACAGGATGCAGAACCTATTTTTGTTTTAATCTCTTTCCAGACAGTTGCTTTGTTTTAATGGACTGCTCTTTCACCTGTGCATAATTCTTCTCTAAATTAAATTCTCTTCTCAGTCCAGCATAATGCACACTGGACTGTCAGCTCATTACTTTTACATCCTCCTTTATTCTGTTTATTCAAAGGTTTAATTAACTATGAATTGCATTGTAGGCAACAGGAAAAAGCCCAACCCCAGGTTGCTGTGTACCTCCACTCTGAAGGGAAGAGAGGCAACACAGTACTGTGGAAAAAAGGCTAGAAGGTGAGATGACAGCATAAAGATTCTAATCCTCTCACTACTACTTTGAGTGACTCACTTATTCACTAAATATTTGTTAAATTGCTGCTGTGTGCTTGTCATTATTCTAGGTGTGGGGATGGTGAGAAAGACAGGGGCCCTGCCTTCACAGAGTTTATAGTCTGTCCATGGAAATAGATGAGCAAGTTTCTTATCTATTGCTGTACAGAAAATTATACAATACTTGTTTCAAACAATATACATTTGTTATCTCTGCCATTTTTAATTCTGTATCCCAAGTGGGATCACATGTTGGTCAGGAATTTAGGATTAGCTTGGCTGGGCAGCTCTGGCTTGGAGTCTCCCATGAGATTGCATTTGGAGCCAGCTTGGGATACAGTGATCTGAAGGCTTGATGGGACTGGTGAATCCACTTCCAAGGTGGCTAGTTCATATAGCTGGCAAGTTGATACTGGCTGTTTGTAGGAGAACCAGTTACTGCTAATGTGGGCTCCTCCATGGGATATTTGAGCATGTCCATGGCATGGCAGCTGGCTTCCTTAAGCAAAGTAGAGCTGCAGTGCCCTTTATAACTCAGCATTGGAAATCAAACACCAGCACATCTCAGCTACACTCTATTAGTCACATAGACCAGCATGACTCAACATGGAGACTACAAAATGGCATGATGCCTGGAAAGTGAGGAGGCTGTCTACCACAGTAGCAAACAAATAAATAAGGCAATAATTACATATCGCGACTGGTGATGTTAAGAAAATAGAGCTATGTGGCTAGCAACTGAGGGAATTGCAAGTTACCTCTTCAAGGGGGTTAGGGAAGGCCTCTTTCTAGCTGTGGAAACCAACATAAGTTCCCTAGACTTCTTTTAACCCTCATCTTTAAAAGGAGAGCAATTGTCATTCTTTACTCACAGAGTGGTTTTGAGGTTACAACTAGAATCGGAAGGGAAGGGTGGGAGAAAGGGTTGGGAGAGACTTACTGAAGGGTAAAGAATTGCAGATAGAATAAGTTCTAGTGTTCTATAGCTTTGTAGGATGACTACAGTTAGCAATCATATATTACATACTTCCAAATAGCTTAGAAGGAAGATACTGAATGTTCCAAACACAAAGAAATGATACATGTTTGAGAGATTAGTATGCTAATTACCCTGATCTCATGACTATGTGTTGTATGTATCAAAACATCACTATGTATCCCATAAATATATACAGTTATCATGTGTCAGTTTAAAAAACTAAATAAATAATAAACTCTAGAAAAGTTCAGTTGTAATTTTGCTTTCTGTATGCAAGTAGCTACATCTCTTTGCATCTCAGGATAGGTGGCTGGCCTCAGTGCTATCAGCTTCTGAAAGGAAATGCTAAAAACATTTTGGCAGAGATCAGAGCTGCTAGGACCCAGCTGAGCGACACAGCCAGGGAAAGAGAATCTCAATT